TTTTCGACTCTTTACACACTAATTGTTTTTCACCATGAGTTTTCCACTTATCCAAGTTTAGATGTGGTGAAGTCTAAAAAAAAACCTGAAAATATTGACAAATTGCATTGTATTTATGTTAAATTTTCATTCATTTTCAATTAGATATTTAATCTCATGAACGAATATCTTATTTTAATTGAAAATAATTAATAGTTAGTAAATGTATGATTTTTTGAAAGTTATGAAATAAATGTTAAATACGATAGATAGAAATGCAACTTTATTTTTACTTCTCAGTGTACAATGACACAAAACATATTACATTTTTGTACTATCAACAAAAACAAAATTCGAGATTTGACAAGTCTAAATTGTTTGAAATTGTCATTTAAAGTTTATTACAGATCAGCACTCGTTGTTGAAGTTTTCGTAAAGACCTGAAGTGTGGCTATTGTTTACATCGGCCAATAGAAATACATCCAGTCCAAATCTACTGGTATCTAATTATCTCACAGCAATGTAGAGCTTAAAAAACTATTTTCGATTATATTTTTAAAGCAAAGTAAAGTTTTAACGTATTATTTGACTATGTAAAATCGCCTGCAAAAATCCTCAAATGTCACAAAATAAAATAAATGGCAAATATTATAGATGGATGATAAAAAAAACACACCTTTAAACCACAAATTTTCCTGAAATAGAGAATTTGATTAAGTCTTAGGTCTTAGTTGACTTTTCCAAAATCAAGTACAAACAAAACAGGTCATAATGTCCTAAATGAACCAGGATGTAAAAATAAAAAACTCTCAACGCTACAATTGGTTAAATATCTGACGTTAAAATGTGTTTACTTTGGCGCCAAACGTTCAACATTTCTTGCTTAAATGCCCTATCGATTCGTCCGCCATCACGTTTAATCGCCTTTAAATATCTATTTAATGAAAGTTCAGTACAAATCACAGATCGACATCAGCTATTATAATTTATTGCTCTATTATTTGTTTCACCAAAATTAAATATCAACTTTAAATTAAATAGAATATACGCAAATAAATACATGTGTATATACTAGATGTACATTCCTTTACAAAATGTATAAACTAGTATTTCAAGAGTCAACATAATAACTAGTTATAATTCCTTTTCATGTTTATTATATGATAAAAAAAGAGGGGAAAGATACAAAAGGGACATTGAAACTCATAAGTCGAAAATAAACTTGACAACGCCATGGTTAAAAATTAAAAGACCAACAGACAAACAATAGTACACAAAACACAACATAGAAAACTAAAGACTGAGCAACACGAACCCCACCAAAAACTGGGGGTGATCTCAGGTGATCCGAAAGGGTAAGCAGATTCTGCTCCACATGTGACACCCGTCGTGTTGCTCATGTTAGTACACACCCAGTAACAAGTCTAAATCGGTAGGTTACATTCGGGGAAAAGGGTACGGGATTGTAGTTATGACAGTTGAAACATATCCGCTATCATCTGTGAAACGGATATTCCATAACGGTCAACCAACTCGTGATGGCGTCCGTAAAATTTACGTAGGGATGATTTCAAGTTCACCACTTCTTGGAACTCTTGGTTAAATAGCTTCCTAATGTATATGTTTTTGAATTTTGTATTTCTAAGAATTGTCGGTAACTACGTCCCTTCGGTATCTTTCGCCTCTCTTTTAGCAAACAATCGCTAAAAATCAGACTAAAATGAAATATCTACTTGCTACTTAATGTTCTTTCTGTTTGCATGGCAATACATCCTCACATTTTAATATAATTTTAAGCTCAACTGGAGAAGACCAGGTGAATTCTTGTCATCACTTTGCGTCTAACATCCGTATTCAGAAATTTTTTCTTTAAAAATCCACTCCGAAACTTTTAATGAATTAAAACTAAAGTATGTAAACTTCATCCGTATATTGGCAACTGCAAAATTTGTTAATTTCGTCCATGATAATCAGCCAACATGGCCACCATGTCTAAAATTAGAACATTAGAGTCATACAATAGTTTTAGATATAGAACCACTAATTCGTGCCCGGTCGGAAAGAACATACAAGAAAGCAGTACATATTTTAAACAAAATAGTTCCTACGCATAGCTGTATCTTTGTCAATAGGTGAACTATTTGGGTAGTTTTGGTATCAAATGGAAGGTTGGGGACTGGGGAACACCGTAGAACCATTGTTGAAAGTTTCTTTTAAATAATAAAAAAGTATATAAAATTATAATAGGAGGGCCCATTTGCCCTGTTGTACAGATCAGAAGTACCTATTTTTGTACTATCAAACTTCCAAGAACCAGTACGCTCTAATATGCAATTAAAGGTATGTTGAAAGTCCGGATAAGTATGGCAAACCGTTCTCATCAAAACTATGTTTAAACCATTTTTTCGAAAAAATTTCACACTGAGAATTAAAAAAATCACACTGAGATTTAAAAACCTAAAATAACACACTGAGAAATCGAAATTACACACTGAGATTTTAAAATAACACTCTGAGATGTAAAAAAAATGAAAAACACACACTGAGAATTGAAAATTACACACTGATATGTTAAAAAGACACACTAAGATGAAATGAATTGAAAAACACACACTGAGATTTAAAAAAGACACACTGAGATGAAATAAATTGAAAAACACACACTGAGAATTGTTAATTACACAATGAGATTTTAAAAATACACACTGAGATTAATATGCAAATTACTATTGAATATTCATGAGATGAATAATTCAACAGATTAATATCTTGGTCTCTCGAACTCTTGTCATTATAATGAAATGCGGTTCCTACAACCAACATTCGTAATAAATTTCAAGACTTAACAACTTTTCATATTCATAAGTTTGTTGCCTATAATTCAGTTTATTACTAACAGTATATCGGGATTTTTTGCTTAAAACTGTTTAAGCATGGTCCCTTTTCAAAAGTCTTTCAACTGTTACCCTGATTTCGCAAGGTAATCTTTTATATTTTTGTTACGCATATATGCTATGATAGGCACTTGGGAAAAAAATTCATTGCATTGTTTGTATTTTTGCAGATTGTTCCAATGTTTTCTTATAATTTTAATAAGTTTTTCACCATTTGGTTATATTTTGTAATGAGAGTAAGTGGGTATTTTTCTTGTTCTATTGGTTTTTAATAAAGTAGTTTTTCTATACGTTGTATTTTTAATGTTTTTTATAAAACATTTAGCGCCAAATTGAAGGACTATCGAGTTCTGTCCCCTAGTTGTTTTAAGCTTGTAATAGATCCAGATTAAGTATGCTAAGTAGATATGTGCGCATAAAAGGAACGCACAAATCTCAGTGTGTAATTTTAAATTCTCATTGTGTAATTTCAAATTCTCAGTTTATTTCATCTCAGTGTGTCTTTTTGAAATCTCATTGTGTAATTTTCAATTCTCAGTGTGTAGTTTTCAATTCTCAGTGTGTAATTTTCAATTCCCAGTGTGAGTTTTTCATTTTTTGTAATCTCAGTGCGTTTTTATGAAATCTCAGTGTGTAATTTTTAATTCTCAGTGTGTGTTTTTAGGTTTTTTAATCTCAGTGTGTTTTTTATTAATTCTCAGTTTCTAAATTTTTCGAAAAATGGTTTAAACATAGTTTTGACGAGAACGGCTTGCCATAGATAAGGTATAATTTTGACATGAAATGACTGCCACTTTATTTGAACTTAAGACAAAGTATCCATTAATGCTTGACATTGCAGAATTTAGCATAGAAAGCAATGGGGCTATGAATTAGTGGTTTTATACCTTTAACTAATATCTCTAAAACTATAGCAATTAGAGAAAAACTGACCGGGTACAATGGTCCGCATAACAAATGTTATCGGTCGTCCCACTATCTATATCACTCTGCTGGGCTCTTAATAAAATTGCACGTCAAATACGTTGGCCAAGCCGTCATAACTTTGACCCGGACATATCACCGACATCATAATGAACGTTGATAAGTTTGACCAGAAGTTATCAATTCATCTTCCGGTTTGCTGGTGAAGCAAAGAAAACATTTGTTTCTATTGATATTTGATATCGTAAAATATCAGCTGCTCGACAGTATATATCCTGCGCTCACTCGACAAAAAGCGTATTGTGACTCACAGCTGATATTTTACGATATCAATATGCAGACAACCTGATAATCGGCACATATCTATCCTAAACATTTTGGAAATCTGTCCGCAAAATTTAGAGTTAGTGCCTCTGAAACATTGATTTTTTAAAACTTTTGCGGCATTATCTTGCAAGTATTACAAAAACTATTAGAGCTAGGTTAAAAGTTTAAATTGCAAAAATTGTAATTACTCATTTCGGAGTTATTGGCCATGACATATCGTTTTCTTTTCAATTTATAGCAGTTGTTGACTGCTACCGTGTAAATGATAGGAGTTAGGTTAAAAGTGTAAATTGCAAAGAATCAGCACGACAAGATGTATCTACCTAGAACATTTTAGAAAAATCTGTAGACCTGTTTAGGTATTTTTGCCCCTGAAATATACATACTTGATTTTTTGTCTTTTATTGTGAAAAATATAGGACCTATGTTAAAAATATGTGTGTAAAAATTACCAACACAACAAGATCTATAAGCCCTGAAAATTTCAAAAACCCTATCTACTTGTTTTATAGTTATTGCCCCTGAAATGCACATTTTAAAAACTGTTATTTGCTGTTATTTTTAAAACTATAGGAGCTAGGTTAAAAGTGTAAACTGCAAAAATGATCAACATGACAAGAACTATCTACTCTGGAAATTTGACAATGCGGTTTGAAGTCGTTGCCTCTGAAATATTGATTTTTGTTGATTTTTACAGGTTCTAAAATCTAGTACATGTTTATTATGTAAATTGCAAAAATTATCATCAACACAAAGAGTTACTAATATATGTACATACTGGCGTTTTTTACCAGGTGATCAAAACAGGCACATGTGTGCCTCTTGTATTAATATACAAGAAATGCAAGTAGTTTAAAAGAAATAATTTCACTTCAGGATATAATGGCACATATTGTGAAAATATACCGGTTCGCATATGCAAAAAGGATCAAGTTACAACAGAATTAGAGCACTGTAAGAAAAGCAGGAATGAAACATGTTTTATAGATTTCCAGGATATGTCAAAACTAAAGTGTACATTATTAAAAGGTAAGTAAAATAGTTTTAACATATATTGAAATAAATATAATTTGGTCTAATTTTTTGTATATTGTTGAAAACCACATGTTAACCTCTAGAAGCTTTTGATGTTTGGTGCATTATAATGTTATGTTGCGATCTCTGTGACATATTCCTTACATCTCATTTTGCTCTTTAAAGTGAGTTACTGATACATTGTGTCTGTGTTGTAGGAACACTAGCAAAAATACGTCACTACGCTGTTTTTAAATGAGTTATATTTGCAGTATGCATAGGGTTCTGGAATTTCCTTATTTTAAATCATATAACAACATTATCGAAAAACAGAACAAGCGTTTCTGGAAAAGCTTTCATCAGGTACACTTTGTGCAAAATAAAACAAGTATTTCTGACGAAAGTACCTACTATCGAACGTATGATACTTTCTAAAGTCCAAAGTTTGATGTGAGTTCGTAATGCCAATTGTCTTTGTCTTAAGTATTCGCTTTTATTTTTGCTTGTTTGAATCTTCATCTGACTTGTTGCTACACAATCGCAGATGTGGGTTTTCTGCTGACTTTCGATTTTAAATGCACCCCTATAATAAATTTCTTTCTTTATCATTACCATTTATTTACTCTTCCAATGGAATTCTATAGACTCATTGATCGTAATAAATATTTACTAATATGCAAAAGTCATGCTTTAGGTGTAATTTTATGGTCAATGTTGAACGTTTAGAAGTACAACTAGCATATTATTGTGGTCATAAAAGCCAAAATCAAAACACCCAAACCCCAAGGAAAGCGATACGAACGCGAAGACTCTTTGATTAATGAAATTACTTTATCAGTTAAAGTAATTCAAATTAGAACAACCAGTTAGAAATATTATCATGTCAATACCGAAGTAGCAGTTAATTGGAGAAAGTTACTCATAAGAAGAAGTGATAAAATTAGACATTTCATTATGTATGCTACTTTCTACAGTCATTATCATTTTAGGTGTGTCAAATTGTTGATAGTATTTCATAAAATCATATTTTTAAGCCTTTCTAAGAGATGGGGGATGGTTGCACGCCCCTTCCTGAATCCGTTCTGATTCTTGCTTTAGAGCTGATATAGAAGTCCATGTTCAACAGAACTTTGGTTGACTTGCTTGCAAACTTTGTAAGAATGTTTTCTCAAGTATTGTTATTAGGATTGATAGCTCAAGACAATATATATGCAGAGTTTTAGTCTGTTTACAACATATAACGATTTGATTGGATAATGAATAGTCTGTTCACAACATATAACGATTTGATTGGATAATGAATAGTCTGTTTACAACATATAACGATTTGATTGGATAATGAATATGATAAAATTTCACCTTTATTGAAGATGCTATTGTTTTATTATTTCTCATTAAAATTCAAAGTAATCCGAATTTACATTTTCGTATAGATATACGCGGTTAAGAATGAAATTTTAACACAATAAGTTTATAACAAAATTTTTTTTCACAAAATTATATATTTTAGTAGATTTAAAATTAAAAAAGTGTGATATTAAAACTGTACATGATTTACATTTTAGTCTGTTTTTTAACTATTTAAATGATAAATTATGAAAGACTTATTAAGCTGGATATTTCCCAGTGTAATTTATATGATTATAGAACTTCAGTTTGTCAATCTCTTTGAACATAACAACATGTACAGTTTAATTTTTTTTTCCAAATGAAAAAAAAAAATAGCATGTAGTAAATGGAAAACACTTACCCAATGAATTGTATATCAGGGCCCGTATGCATAAAACATCATAACTTAAGTGTTCCTTGAACTTAGATTTCACTAAGAATTCCCCTAGTTAAGTAAAATTCTAAAGTTGTATGCATAAAATTACGTAAGTCATCACTTAACTAAGGAATACTTAAATCTGAACCTTTCTCTAATTGTCGTATGATATATGTTAGCTCATCTCATGTACTCATCCGTGCAAAAGTTTATTTTGATTATTTACATTGATTGAACAATACATAATTGTATAAAGAACTGGGGTTAAATTGATGTTGGTAGGTAAAACAATTAACAAATACGTAACCAACTAAAATAACCAAACAAATTGGCGCATAAGAGAAAAGGTTGTTTTGGTGGGCGAGCGTGGGAAAAAAAATATTTATATTGCAAAACTTCCCCCTACTGTTACTAAAGGAGAGATGAAAGGGGATTGGAAGGAAATTGATTGATTTATCGATGTTTGCTTAAAGTCCAGTGGCAAATACATCATGCATGTTCAGGACGAGAACAAATTAACAATAGATAAAATAAGTGGATCTTGTAATAGACGCTTTCCTTGATGAAGGTCAAGAAAATTTGAACTACCACTGGAAAATGAAAGTATATTGGATAGGCACAGACATTCTCCCTTGCAACAGCTCACATACGGACCCCAAAGAGTTGTTGTAGGTGTTCTTAACGTGCAGAGTGTGTGGCACTCTCTCTACACGAGGCATCGGATTTAACTCCCCATTCTGACCGGACGTGGTTGCGTACTTAAATATCCCGCACCTCCAAACGTTTTGGTAAGGGTTTTACTGCCGGTCGGAAATAGACCAAGTTACCGTATTTCTGGTCGCCACTCACCCTTAGGGGTGGAAAAAATAGCAAATATATAACAATAAAATAAGAAGAAAAAATCCATAAGGAGAGTTTCTTAAGAGATTTAAAAGAAGTGGGACAACTTATACATGGCGTGATAAATGTAAAATATCAAAAGATTCTGAGTTATCCACTTGCAATTTATTCTTTATAGCAAACAAAACTTCAATCATACAAGGAGTCGCTGAATGGAAACTTACCATTATGTTGTAGCAAACCATCCAGCCTAATAATGGTATACATGTATGCTAGTAAAAACAATTAAAAAATAAATCCACGTCATCATATTTATTCAATAGATTTGTTCCATCTCTAATGCACCGACCGTGATTCATCTTTCATGGGTGATGCTGGATGGAAGGGCAATATGTTTATTTTCTAGAGACAACACTATATTTTTAACTCAAACAATACACGATTAAGATTTTTTTTATTTCGATTTAAAATAAACTTTCTTATCACTTCCCATTTACAACAATAAAAAAGGGGGGTATGATCATTTTCCATGAATTTTCCATGAATTCATTCAAAAGTCCTTCAATCTTTTACTAAAACACACATTATTAGATTCATATGTTTACTGTAAGGTATTGTCAACATCTTTGCGTATTTCCGAATATTTCGCTTGACAGTTATCACGCTGAAAGATGACTAAAAACTGCATTCATTCATATTAGGTTTAAAAAAAAATTGAGCAATTATCTAACTGGCGAGAAGGACTTTCTTAACAAAAACAACATTTTATTGGAAGTTATAACATAAATTTCTTTAGGTTAAAGTATTCCTTCTATGCAACATTTGCAATATTTTCGTTAACACTGAATATATATGGAAATACAAAAAAATATTGAATATGGGTTAAGTAAAATATATATAGACTTCGAATTCCACGGAGTAGGTCATAAAAAGTTTGATTATGTCCCAGTTAGTGAAACAAGTTCAGGTGAAATTGCCCAATATATGTAGAAAAAACCCAATATAATTGAAAATTAAACCGATGTCCCCCCAAGAAAACAAGATTTTGCATGCCTTAAAGATCATCAGCGCTTCCTTCCTTCATACAGTTTTGTACTAACAGTTACAATCAATACCAGGCGGTGTATTTTATCAATCTAACATTTAATGTTATTTGTGTAAGCAGTAAGCAGGCACGAACAAATCAAAAGAAAAATTAAAAACCAATTGTTCAGAGAACAATTGAAGGTCTTTCCACTTCAATTGAAAGTCTTTCCACTTCTATTGAAGGTCTTTCCATTTCAATCTAAATAATTGATAAGAAGCTACTTCTGGTTTACTTAAAGTTACTTTTGGCGTCCAATCATAGGTTTCTTCACAATGATTCATTAGATATATACTACTCTTTTCACAAAAATCTTACGATTAAAATTGATCGTAAGTTGTACTGAAATGTGTATGACTTACGAGTATTTTTACTCTTAAGATTTTTTGTGAAAAAGTCGATGGTTCCTATATACTTTTGCCTGAAATAAGGGAGATAATTGTCGACTTCCTGTTAAGAAAATGTCACTTCCGGTCTCAAAAGATAGCTGTATTTACAATGATTCCACAAATATATGGTTTTTATATACTTATGCCTCTAAAAAGGGAGATAATTGGCTACTTCCGGTTTAGAAAATGTCACTTCCGGTCTCAGATGATAGCTTTATTCACACTGATTCCAAAAATATATAGTTTATATACTTATGCCTGTAATAAGGAAATAATTTGCTACTTCCAGTTTATAGAATGTCACTTCCGGTCTCAAATGATAGGTTTTCGTATGTCCATTTAAAAAATGTATGGTTTCTAGGTACTTTTTCCTAAAATAAGTGCAAACATGACTACCTTCGGTTCACTAAAGGTCACTTCCGGTTGATATTTCTCAAGGTCACATGTCACATAACATTTTGTAAAAAACCTTATGGCTTTATCATGTACCAATCTAAAGTGATAACCAATTTACCGTAAAATAAAACATTTGAGGGGCAATAACTCCTATAAGATGTCACTGGATTTTTTCAGACCCATGTATCATATTTTCATCACAATATATCAAACATTTTGCTCTAGTTCTTTTATATATAACGTTAAAAATTTATTAGAAAATGCAAAAACAAGCAAAAGACAAAATTGAGGACATGACCTTGACCTTACCTCATTTTCTAAGTTAGGACCCAATGACCTCAAATAAAAAGACTTTAGGTTTATACAGCTTACGGTTAATGAGTTACAAAAACATGACGACAAATTTATTTGGTAAAGGTAGATAACTCCTATAAGATTTCAAGGCATGGCTTCGATCCAAATCAGCCAAAAATTTCTGAGGATGTAACGAACAAATATGAAAAAGAATTTTGTCGTTATCTTTTTTGGTTACGGAGGAGATACAATAACAATAAAAACAGTGTTTGGGGAGATAACTCTTACAATAAAAAAATCTTCGGCTCAACAAGATGAGTTTTAAAAGCTCAGTAACTGTTCGATATAATATCTAAAATATCTAAGCGACATCTTGCGAAACATTTTTATACCGCAAGAAAAGGGTTTGGCGGAAGAAAAAAAAATAATAATCAGAACAAAACCAAAATACCAATTGGATCTTTCCACAGAAAAGTGGAAAGACATAATAATTGCATGAATTCCATGCATGTAAAAACTGTGAGTACTTTTCGGAATACACACTAACGAGATTGCGAAATAAGGATACAATAAAATTATAAAACTACCCTCTTTTATCTCTTGATTTTGTTGATTATAGCTGATTTTACAAAAATTACAATGATCGTTCATATTTAGCAATAAACAAAAGAAATATTACTAAATATTATTATTATTCAGTTAAATGGGAGCTAATCTATCCATGTTCTGCAAAAAACGCATACATTCGACTGATTTTATATATTTTAGAAATGTTAAGGTAGCTCTATAGGTACCTTATACTTAAGTATAATCTTAGGCGTTTTCTTAGTATAAGGGGTTTTATGCATCCCACTTAAGTTGTGTGGGTGTGACTGAAACTAAATAAGATTTTACTAAGGAAATACTTAGTTTAAGATTTTTTGTACATACCACTTAGGTTAAAAGGGCGGAGTTTCCTTAACTTAAGTGTTTACTAAGGAAAATCTTAACTTAGGTAACTTTATGCATACGGGCCCTGAGATATACTATGCCTTGACTAAACTTTAAAAAATCAAACTATATAAACTGGTTGAATCTACTACTGTAGAGTTTTCGAACTGAAGATGCATCATTGTATAATAAGTTTCCATAGTTGGTTCATATTCATTTCTCAATAGCTCCTCTGATTGTATGCCTCTTTTCCCTTATTCAATTCTCAACGATGATGATACAGCTTTAAAAGATGTGTATTATCTTCTTTCAGGATCGACTTCTTGACTGGACACAATATAATAATAACATATATAGTTTATAAATATACATTCCTAGCGTCAAATTTTGGTCAACATACGTTTCTTCAATATAGTTCTTCGTATTCAGTATACAAAAATCGTCTAATTTTATGTTTCGTCTGTTTAAGCGTCTATTTTGAGCGAACGTTGATATTTATATCACTATATACGTCACAGGTTACGTAGTCTACTTACGTGAATTGCATATGAATTTGTTAATTTAATTATTTATGTGGCACATTTGAAAACACATTAACTTGAGAAAAAAAACCAGTCGGCGATACAGAAACGAAACATTGGACTTTTACCAAAAATATATTGGTTCGATGTTGTAAAATCTAAATCGTACATCTTTGTAACAAATTATTCACCAGATTGCATGAACAGATTTTGGACCTATATGAAGCACAAACGGTCAGATGGGAGTAGTATACCACCACTAAAATCAGCAGGATTACTACACGACGACTCAACTGACAAAGCTAACATTCTGGTCAACATAACACAGCACCTGATATAGCCATCACACAAGAAGGAATAAAGAAGCTTCTAGATGGTCTTAATCCACATAAAGCAGCAGGTTCCGTCACCATTTCCCAGCGGATCCTGAAAGAACTGGTAGACTAATTTGCCCCTATACTACAACTTATCTTTAGAAGATCGTAAGACACAGGGGAAGTACCAACATCATGGAAAACAGCAAACGTATGCCCAGAATTCCAAAAAGGGAAAAAGTTTGAACCAATCAATTCCAGACTAATATCATTAACCTGCATATGTTGCAAAATAATGGAGCACATAGTAACCAGCCATATAATTTCCATGCAGATAAAAACAACATTCTGCATGATCTACAACATGGATTTAGGAAGAAATTGTCATGCGAAACGCAGCTAATAAAATTTATTGATGATATAACCAAAAACTTTGACAATGGCCAACAAACAGACTGTTTGATCATGGACTTTTCTAAGGCATTTGACAAGGTCAGTCATAGTCTACTAATCCACAAGCTCCAACACTGTGGAATAACAGGGAAAACAAACAACTGGATCAAAAGCTTTCTTTCTGAGAGAACCCAGCTAGTACTGATAGAAGGGGAAACATCGGATTCCATTGATGTAGAGTCTGGGGTACCATAAGGCTCTGTACTAAGACCCAGCCTCTTCCTCTTTTATATAAATGACATGCCAGAGAACATTAAATCCACTGTGAGGCTCTTTTCAGATAACACCATCGCATACTTCACTGTAACATCAGATGAAAATACCCTCCAGGAAAGATTAAGACAAATTCATCTCTCAAAAAAATCTCAGCATCTCTAACACTGATATCAAAGAAAAAGCCTACATCTCCCTTGTAAGACCAACAGTTGAGTATGCGAGTGCTTTACGGGATCCATGTCTCCAAAAAGACAAACACAAACTAGATATGATACAGAGAAGATCAGCTAGATATGTAACTATCCGGTACAGAAATTGATCATCTGTAAGCGACATGTTAGAACAGCTAGATGGGACATCGTTAGAGGAAAGAAAAAAAACACGTCTAACCATGCTATATAATATCAGCAACCAAGAAGTAAACATTACAGCAAGTCATAAACTCATACCACCAGAAAGAATCTCCAGAAATATGGCTCAAAATTCTTTCCTGATACCATCATGTAGTTACACAACGAGGAAAAAATCGTTCTACTCAAGATCCATTAGGAAAAGGAACGCCTTACCCTACTCAATGACATCTGTCAGTAGTCTTGAATCCTTCAAGACACTCATGACTAAAAATTAAATCTATAGTCACTTGTTTTTAACCCTCACTGTTAAATATATGTATTGCACCTTTATTTTGATCTTTATGTTTTCAAAATTATTCATGCACACATCCCAAAAGTGACAGAATAGTCAACCTGATGACGGTGGTCACTCAGCGGTAGAAATAGAAGTAGAAGTAACAATGCACAAAGAATAAATGTTTAGTATCGTGAGTCAATCTTTAGGTAGTAAACTAATCTAGGCTTATCTAACTTTATGGAATCTTAAATACTTTTTATTATATAATCTAATAAAAAAACCAATATATTTCAGAAGTGGACAAATCAATTGCGAACTGCAGCTCTAACAACATGGAAATAACGACATCAACAAAGTAACAAATAGTATCTGCAAATAAAAATGACGGAAATTGTTTTCTAGTATGTTTTGAATTGATCGTCATATTTTTGTGGATTGAGTTTTGTAAAAGTTATGTTCTTTAAAACAACTGAACTATATTTGAATGTATTCTTTATTTGAAGTGAGTCATAACATGCTTATATCTTTTTTCTGTAATTATGATTTTTAACATTTTCGTCTTCAGATCATATTTAAATCGAGCATAATACACTCTGTATAGAAGATTCTTTTATGTATTAATTTCATTATGATCACAAACGCTTAACTTAAATTCTCATTGAATCTGCATGTTTGTTAAGTTTTTCATGAATCTTTACAGAACTGGTGCATCTGGAGACCATCTACTAGGATTTTTCGTTTTGTATTCATTAGATACCATACATGCTGGCATAAACTTAAAATTGATTAAATTTGATATTACCTGTCATAACTGGACGAAAATATGCAGAAATAGTGTACATTATAACTTCCCATGTTGTTCCCTGTAAATTCCACTAGAAGAATGAATTATTTAAAGTGCAATACAAATTATGTATCGTCAAAGATTTTTCTGTCAGAAAAGGGAAGCAACGATTTTAATAGCATTTTTTTTTGATTTTTTTGTTGAATAGTTGAATAACTTAACAATGTCATTGGCAATCACTTTTAATACTAGTAGAGTCCTGGGGTGCCTATGGTGACTGTATACCGGGTGTCATATAAAGAAGTGTGTAAGATTTGATTAAAAAAATAACATAATTAGTTTATAATCTGCAAAACTCATGATGTCTTATTACTATATAATAGCATGTAAAAGAATATAACATAAATGGACCGTTTTGTAAATAAACCGAAAGGCGTTTATGTGCAATCAAGATTAATTATCAACACTTATTTAAGAATTTATGATTTCTCTATGCTTTAAACATGTCTGTTAGTGCTTTATACTATTGTATACGAAATGTTAATGTTGATATTTGATCAAATAAATCTATTTATCTATCTTTGACTATTACTTGCATTGTAGAAAAAAAAATATTTAAGATATTCCACGGTGATATATGTATCAGCCACCACTCAGGCAAACATTAAAAGAAATCTTTTATGAAACTTTGTGTACTCAACTTGTCACTTCTTAAAAACATTGAAAATTACTTTCACACCTAAACTTAAACCCCGGGAGGCTAACACGAATACAAGTGACGATCAGGGATCTTATTCACAAAGCATCCGTTAGCTAACGGACCCGTTAATATCTCCGTTAAGATTCCGTTAATTTTAATTCGTATTCACAAAGCTTCCGTTAAATAACGCACCCGTGAACGTCTCCGTTAAATGTTCCGTTAAACCCAATGAATAATGGGAAGGTAAACGTATCCGTTAATCGGGCACTTTGCAGTGCTTAATATGTAAATTGGTCCTTGGAAATAAATGACTACATATCTATTATATATATTACTTAATTGACAGTAGTTTTTTGAAAGCTTCTGTTCATAATTATTATTTGCTCGTACCACGAAAGAATTGCTAAACAGAATGCCGTTATTCTGTTGGTTACCTTTTATTTAACAACGCCATTCACGTGTATTAACGATTTATCATGCAGGAAAACTACACAAAGTATTTAGGCAGTCTTCGTGCTGAAAGGTTGTCATAACACGCTAGAGTACGTACATTGTCAATAGAGCATCTTTTATATTTTTGTTAAATATACCAAAGACATGTGCCTCTAAATATAACAGTTAGAAAAATGATCAAAATAAAAAACAAATAATAAATTGCTCAATCTAATATTTGCATTTTAGCATATGAACGTATGTACGTATACTTAATCATACGATTCTCAATTAATTGATGTACAAGGTTGCAGGTCTATCGCTTTAACAGTCTAATAATAATCCCTCCGTATAACCCCGATACAAAGTAATCCGGACGTTGACGCGTTCGAAGCGATAATCAGGACATCATTTGGGATGACAACAATTTCGAATGCCTTTCTAGAACTTATGTGAGTATATATCAATGTGTAGTGGTAGTTTATCTAATCAATTATAAAGTTGTTGCAAGTTTCAGATTTTGTAAAACTGCTAGATGCAAAACGCCCTGGTATGGTGTAATTTTCTACGTTTTATGAGGTAAACCATGTTCAATATCTTTTCTTACATTAAATTTTGCGTAGCAATACTTTAAGCAACAATAAATAACTTTACGTTGAATTACCACGTGCCTTCAAATGTTCCCAAGAACTCAAAATAAACACGATTTATATATCGTACTAAGATATGTTCATCTTACACTGTATCGTTCGTTTAACAAAATATGTAAAGTTCTTTGCTCTCTAACAAAAAATCACTGTACAATTCGTTGAAAAAAACGTCACAAATCCCTATCTTTTAAATGTATTTGTGATGGCAGCAGCACCTCTTTTTCTGTGATTTATTGTAAATTTGCATCTGTAAACTTAGTCAAAGTAGTAAACCAGGAAATTTTCAGTCATCCAAAGCCATAATTGAAATGTTTTATCAAGCGCACATCTGAAGGCAATTTTTGATTTTCCATGTTATTCAAGATAAAATAAAGTAAACAAATATATATTACAGCCAAGAAAACTTCAATATCTTTTCTCTCAAATGTAGATGTTAGTCCAAGTTTACCTAAACGAAAACAACCAGATAAGCTCGTAGAACATTGTTTGCCGAATGCATTAGATGACGAGTCAAGCCTTTCAAACTGTTTTGTAGTCAATTCTTATCCTGTGTTTTTACACCACCATCATAGGTTGGGTATAGGATTTACTTGCGAACATGTTTTACCCCGCTGCATCATTTACCGGTATCATTGACAGGGGCGTACCCATAATTTTTTAGGGGAGTGTCTCCAAAACTAACTTTTCATTTTTCTTTGATAATAAAGGTCATGGAATTAGCAACAAAGGAAACGCTAATGAAATTTAATCAATATGAATTAAATTTATTCATTGAATTGACAAGTTTTATCTCCCTTATTATGTTTTGATTGTTGCAAGCGACATATTAAATCGGTTGTATAATATATATTTTTCGAGACGCAGTTAGCTCGTGTATTGAAAGGCGAGAATTTAAACAATAATAAAATCAGTTGTTTCGGACATGTTGTTTCATTGTTTAACAATCTTTAAAAGGAGTGCAAGGACAAAAAGGAAAACACACATTGAAGATAAGTACTTTGTATACGACCACAAAACATTTTTGCGGTCGTATATTGGTATGACGTTGGCGTCGTCGTCGTCGTCGTCCGAAGACACATTGGTTTTCGCACTCTAACTTTAGTTTAAGTAAATGGATCTCTCTGAAATTTCACCATAAGGTTCAATACCACAAAAGGAAGGTTGGGATTGATTTTAGGGGTTATGGTACCAACAGTTAAGGAATTAAGGGCCAAAAAGGGGCCAAAAATGAGCATTTTCGTAACTTCCAGACATAACTTGTGTGTTAATGTATGGATCTCTCTGACATTGCACCACAAGGTTCCATATCACACAGGGAATGCTGGGATTGATTTTGGAGGTAATTGCCTCAAAATATTAGGAATTAGGGGCAAAAAAGGTGCAAAAAACAAGCATTTTTCTAGTTTCATGACAATAACTTGTGTGTAAGTGTATGGATCTTTCTGAAATTGTAATACAAGGTTCCATATCACTAAGGGAAAGCTGGAATTGAGTTTGGGGGTAATTGCCCAAAACGTTTAGGAAAAAGGGGCCAAAAAGGGGCCAAAAATAAGCATTTTTCTAGTTTCCAGACAATAACTTGTGTTCAAGTGTACGGATCTCTTTGAAATTGAACTCCAAGGTACCATACCACAAAGGGAAGGCTGGGATAGATTTTGGAGGTAATTGCTTCAAATTTTTAGGAATTAGGGGCAAAAAAGGGGCAAAAAACAAGCATTTTTCTAGTTTCAGGACAATAACTTGTGTGTAACTGTATGGATCTTTATGAAATTGTACTACAAGGTTCCATATCACTAAGGGAAAGCTAGGTTTGAGTTTGGGGGTAATTGCCCTAAACGTTTAGGAATAAGGGGCCAAAAAGGGGCAAAAAAACAAGCATTTTTCTAGTTTCCAGAAAATAACTTGTGTTCAAGTGTATGGATCTCTCTGAAACTGTACTGCAGGTACCATATCACAAAGGGAAGGCTGGGATTGAGTTTGGGGGTGATGAATCATAAGGGGGTTCAAAAAATTTGGGGGGGATTTTTTTTTTTTTTAAATTTTCCATTTTAAATTGGTTATTTCTGATTTATATATAAAAGCAAATAATAATGATATGGTTTGAATAGGTAAATTAAAAATTTTTAAGTTCTTAGACCACATTCATTCTGTGTCAGAAACCTGTGCTGTGTCAAATATTTAATCACAATCCAAATTCAATGCTGTATCAAGCTTGAATGTTGTGTCCATACTTGGCGCAACTGTTCAGGGTTCGACCTCTGCGGTCGTATCAAGCTGCGCCCAGCGGAGCATTTTATTTTCTTTGTGCTTGAAGATATTGATTTGATATTTGGTGTATTGCTTTATCATGACAAGTTACAGATCAAGTTCGAATTTTGTTCTGGACTGACAATTTTGTGCAGAGTTATGGTCCTTGAACTTAGAAAATTCACACAAATAATCAGTTTTCCGCGTTTTATTTTGTCATGCTTGAAGATTTTGATTTGATGATTGTTTTAATTGCTTAACTTGCAGTAATCTTTCGGTAATCAAAAACAACAAATTTGGGAGAAACACTACATGCTCCTTCCTATATTTTATTCAAAGTTCCGTGACAAATGAGACCGGAAGAAAGAATGAGATTTCTGCGCAAGTACAGGAAACTGAAAGAGTATATTGATTGAAAACAGAATGATACAGTTTGTTGAAAATTTCGCTGAATCTATTTATGATGTATTGCTGCTTCCAGATAATTATTTTGCGTTGATTTGCACAGGAATGAAAGGTATTTAATATAATCAGAGGGTCACTTCCAGCCTGTGAATGTAAGCGGTAGCCCGAAGCCCCGGTCTAGTAAAAATCTCATCGGACTTGTGCAGAAGCACTGGTGATTGCCCGATCGGTCTAGTGAACTTCTGAACTCGTTTGCAAAATTGTAGCCGGTATTTTATTGAATCTATGAGAACATGTTACAAATTTGTCGCTGACATTGTTTTCATCCATTTACTGGTATCCCTATTTTATTATATATAGGTTTTGTTACTTCTAATCAAAGGCAACCAGTCGTCAATGCGATATACCTAATTGCCAACGAAATCGACAACGAGGCTCGACCATGTGCTTGCAATAAACACGATCTATAATTACCACTCAATGTAAACAAACAATCAAGGATTCAATCTCAATCGATGCTGAAATGGAAACGGGGCTATCCCAGGTTAAACATTGAGAAGTTTCGAGTTGAAAAAAAGCTATGCAGAAAAACGATCTAGGCATTTTTAAACAACATTAACGAAAGTGTCAAATTATGAAGGAGGGTGTGGATGGGGGGGGGGTTACAGAGTAGAGAATAATGGGCAAAAATCATAGAATATTTTTGGTATGTTTCAGGTTAGGGTGAAGGTTGGCGCCTGTTAAAACGTTCAAACCCGCTGCATTTTTATGCACTTGTCCTAAGTCAGGAGCCTGTTGTTCAGTGGTTGTCGTTTGTTGATGTGGTTTCTCGTTTTTTATATAGATTAGACCGTTGATTTTCCTGTTTGAACTGTTTTACACTAGTCATTTTGGGGCCCTTTATAGCTTGCTGCTTTGACCTATAATTGTTTACTTTTTACACATTGTGACTTGGATGGAGAGTTGTCTCATTGGCACTCATACCACATCTTCTTATTCATATGTATATATAATTTGTAATTTTGGAATATGTACCACTTAATTTAAGAAATCACGACACTTGAACATGTGGAATGGAATATTACTGAAAAGTCTGTGATGTCTAGTAATAAATGGCCTACAAATAGCGATAAGGTGTATGGTAACAAGTCAATCCACCATCTACAAAATAATTGAAATCCGAACCAGGTTAAATCAGCATCAGCTGTTTTATGAACTATTAAAGATTTATTATGTTAATTTTGAGTCTATCCCCATTTTGGTCTTGATTGTGCTGTCAGGTAATGTCATTTATGAATCTGTAAGTCTATTCACTAAAAGTTATTACGATATGAATAGTCAAACAAAATAATCGAACTTCGGGGGTAATTGAATAATTAAGTAATTCTAGGATTTTTACAGAATAAGTATTAAAATCTAGTGATATCTGGCTAAAGCTTGCATAATTATATAGAATGATACTGCCCATTTGATGACTTCTTTATGGAAATACATTGTGTGCAATCATCATTGCAGTATTAAAAATAGACAACAAATAATTCCCAATATTTGTTCAGTACATCACTTATAAACTGTTAACACAGATATATGCCTTGCTTTTTTTTTTATTTTGATAGTAAAATGCAAATGTTGAAATTAAAATAGCAATACTTGAACATGTAAGTAATGCAAAATATTCAAAGTCGGTTAACCATGACTGAAGGTACAGGGCCAAACAATCTTCATGGAAATGAGATGTGCCAATGCTAATACAACTGCATACCAAATATCATTGACCTACAACTAGGGGTTCCCCATAAACAGACCTAATCACAAACTATTACATATAAACTAAGCAATAGTTTCAAAGTCAATAGACAATGACTGAGGGGACAGGGCCAAATAACCTCCATTGAAATGAGATGTGCCAATGCAAATACAACTGTATACCAAATAACATTACCTACCACTAGGGGTTCCCCATAAACTGACCTAATCACAAACTAATACATGTAAGTTTAGCAAAAGTTTAAAAGTCAATAGACCATGATCAAGGGGGTGGGGCCAAATGATCACCATGGAATAGATGTGCCAATGCTAATACAACTGCATACCAAACATCATTGACCTACCACTAGTGGTTCCCCATAAACTGACCCAATCAAAAACTAAAACATTGTTGATGCTGCCGCCTTCACTGCCGCCGCCATTGCCAGAAACAGCATACCTATGTTTTGCATTTTGACTCCATCAAGGTGAGGCAAAAACTATGTTTTGATAAGAAAATTATGTTTCATTTTGTTAAAATTGACCAAATGTGACACTATTGAGGTTATATCAGCTTCCCTTTGATTATTATTGCACGGCATGATAGTTGATGATCAATCTGAAACAATAATTAAATAACAACAACCTATATAATTTCTTTGGTACTCAAATTATACATCAGGAAAAAACATTGACAGAGGACAGGTGATAGCTCTGTTGAATATTTTTTAATTCTTTTTTACAGGTTTAAGTTGATGACACAACAGTGCATGTGAAACAAAATGGTAAATATACTTTATGCAAATGTGAGATTCATTTTGCTCTTTTTTGCATAATTTGAATATAATATTTTTAATGAACATTTCATCAATAGATGCCAGTCAGTAGGATAATAAAACACAAAATAATGACGGACTTGGAGAAAATATAAAATATTCTGTTAGGGAAGTAATCCACCATGTGCATGCATTTTATGAATTTTCATCACATTTTTAGTGAAATTTTCTATTCATAGTAAAGATTATAGCATATGGTTCAAATTAGTTATTAGTGTTTTTGAAGTTACTTAACAGCTAAAACAACCATATGCATAGCCTTCAACAGGAATTAAAAACATTTGCATCTGTTTTGCATTTGTAATGCCTTAATATTATGGATTTCCCCTGTCGTGCAAAGAGTTAAGGGAAGGTGTTGATTGTAATTCCAACAGGAAAAGTTTTATCAAAGGAACTTACTATCAGAGCTCACACTGTTACACATCAATACAACACAGCTAGCAATATCGCATTGATCCAGACGTGCTCTGTATCATATTCCATTCAAATTTTGTTTTCTGAATAAATAGCTGAGGAAGCCAACAAGTTTTCCATAGTAAACTCAACACTACCAAGTTACGAGTAAAGAGTACTAGTGCTTCAACTGGCAGCAAGCTTATGTCTGTCACACCCTGCATTTGATATTTTCTTTTATTTCCAGATACCAAAGTTGTTTCAATGGTTGTTTGGTGTTGGTGCCTTCCTCAGTATGTGGTTAGCAGTAGTATTGGAATATGTCAGCGTTCAGTCATCTAGCTCATTTAAATCATTATTTATTTTACCAGTAAGTTCACAAACATTAGGGTGGACATTTTTATGTAGAAAAGAGCCTAGGCTTAGGTAGTAAATTATAAGCAGAATCAGAGTTTGAAATATGTGAGTGGGTGAATTTGCCTTAAATAAAAATGGATCTATTCTTTTAATTTATATATAAAACTAAATTGGAAACAAATCTATGGTAAAAAAAAATGAGAACTAATACACATACAATGTAGTAACTACTTTAGAAATAATTGTATAAATGTAATAATGAATTGCTGACTTTAAATTTGCTGTATACTTTAAAGAATTTGTGGCATAATTTCTCACATGATCACAAAAAGACCAGGCTGTAATCATTGTAATCACAACATTTATAGCAAGACTTGTGTACATTTCTGAAAATTACATAAGATTAGTATTTAATAAGGCAATATACACACTGTAGCAATGGGAAACATTATAGAAGTTCTGTAATATTATAATTTCAAAGTTTCGATGAAAATGCCAAGTAATAATATTATTTTGGTTCAATGTCTCTATTATATTCATTTTGAAATACTTATCATGATCTTTGAATATGAGCATCATATAGAAAAAGTTCAGTTTATTTTATCTTTTGCAGCTGCCATTGATTGTTCTAGTCTTATTTGCAGTAAGTATATTGTATCCGGTAAACAGCCATAGTATTATAAAAAAATGAAAGAAACACTTTATAATTATGGTAATTTAATGTTAAAAAAAGTCAATTAATGAATATTGAAATCATGACAATTTGTTTCAGCTCTGTATAATTACAGCTTATAAATATCATTGACTTTCATTGGTTGATAGCTAGTGTAATTTTCATGTAATTTTTTGTATCAGATTAATTTTGTTCACATTGTACCACTGCCAGGATATATTCACAAAGAAAAGTTAAAGATATCTCTTTTTAATCCTCTGACGTGTCTGAGATGATATTTGCCAAAAAATATTCATGTTGTTTTTACTCTTCATGAAGACAATTGATCATTGTGCACCTAATAAATGCAGCTGATTTTGATAACAACATGGTGGCGGAAAAAAAAAAGGATTCTGTATTGATATTCTGTATAATTAAAAACAGATTTCATATATTCAGGAGGGGTATTTGGTGAAATAATTTCCTTTGCCTAGTGTCTCAGGAATTTTAACCTTATCTCAACTGTTATTTTTATGGCCCCGCAACAAAGTTGTCGGGGACATATAGTTTTATCCTTATCCGTCTTGCCACAACGAACAGTTATACAGACTTTTTCTGAACTCCTTCACATATTGAGCTGATTTTTAGTATGTGAGTCAACTATGTTGAGTTACTGATCGAGTTTACGTTTGGTTCCGCTCTGCTGATTTTTGCTATAATAACAGGCTTTGGAATTTGAACATTTAGTTAAAAAAAACAGTTATATCGACTTTTTTTCTAAACGCCTTCACATATTGAGCTGATTTTTATTATGTGAGTGTACTATGATGAGTTACAGATTGATTTTAAGTCTGGTTTCACTCCACTGATTTGTACTGAAATTACAGGCTTTGGACTTAAAATTTCGTGAAAATAACAGATATACATACTTTCATTCTCAAATTTCCACTCCTAAAAAAAGCTTCAAGCTTTTATTGCTAACGGGACCATTCATGTTGTTCCGACACATCTAGTTTTACAAATACCCCTACTGTACTTAATATTTTGTAAACAGAAAATTATATCAAAATTAGACAGTGGATAACCATATGTAAATTGACTATTTGATTTAATTTTTTCACTTCAAAAACTGTATAATAAATTTTGAAAGGAGATGTTGTTTTATTTAATGCAGAATTCAAAGTTTTACAAGACATCACTTGGAGATATAATCTATATTTTATCATATTGAACTTAAGTGGCTATATTATTATTTATTTCACTTTCTCCAAAAAAGCAGCCTTTGAAATTTGTTGGATTTTAGTACTTTGCCTACTGGATAAAGAAAATTTACTTTTTTCATGAAAAGTTAAATTCTATCAAATTAGATCTTAAGAAATCAATTTGTTCATGCATTGCATACCTGCCAACCTTTCAGTATCTCCATGGGGGATTTTGAGTGCAAGAGGTCCTAATATTCCTCTTATATTGTCATAAGTGTTCTAAATCTACTACCATATTGTTTGAATGAGTATATATGTCATTTGAATGCCTGTTTTGAGGTCTTCAGTTTATATAATAAAGAATTTCAAAATTCAGGTCAACACCTCTCATGGGGGATATCCCCCATAAATCGGGTTTGATCCCTGGCTGTGTCAAATTAATGACTTTAAAAAAATTTAAAAATCTTTTTGTTGCCTGACCACTAAGCGTGTAACATTAATATGGAGTAAGAGCAAAGACTGGTCAGTTCAGAGAATGATGTGTAGGGTGAGGTGTCTTCCGGCTGATTGTTACCTTGTGAACTAGAACCTTAAAAATCAAGCTCAGCATGTCAGTTTAGTACAAAGCAAGACTCATATTCATATTGAATTAATATGCTCTCCTGAATATGCATTTAAATTGCCACTGTACTTTCAACAGCCATCCATCCATCAATCATATACTTTCAAATAAAGCATCCATGTAATTTTTTTGCAGATATATTCTTTGGGTGTGATAATATATCGAGTTGCCATATTTAATAACTGTGAAGAAGCATCAGAGGAACTTAAAACGGTAAGGTCACAATATGTCAGAAGTTTGTTATCAGAGGAACTTAAAACGGTAAGATCACAATATGTCAGAAGTTTTGTCATCAGTGGAACTTAAAACGGTAAGGTCACAATATGTCAGAAGTTTGTCTGATTTATTGCTTAATTCATGGTTTCTTATATGTCCATTACAAAATAATTTAATTCTGGATGTAACACGTCTTCTGATTGGCTGAAAGTTTTTTGTCAAACAGCTGATGGAGATAATTGTGTCATGTGACCGTGACGTCATCAACGTTTTTTCATGATTTACTCCTTAAAAATGGAATTTAGAATTAAATTATAAGGACTGACTGTAATATATTTTCTGTCTATTCAAAACAACCTAAAAAATGTGGTGTTCACTTTTAAATTACACGCTACGCGGGTAATTTAGTGTGCACCACATTTTTGATATTACTTCTTCATAGAAAAAAATATTACAGTCATTCCTTAAATATAAAATAAACGTTTAGAAAAAATAACCAATTAAAATAATAAGCATAAACAAAAATTAAACATTAACATTTAAACCTGGAATAAAAATACACCATTTGCATACCTGCCAACATTTCAAAATCTCCATTGGGGGATTTTAAGCAAAAGAGGACCTAGTGCATACCTATACATTTCATTAGAGTACTTAATTAAAACATCTATGGTTTTGAATGAGTATACATGTGTTCAAATGTTATTTTTTACTGGACATTAAACAAATAACAATCAATCAATCTATTGCAGTTCATTAACATTATCATTGAATAGTCTATTCTGTAATTGAGCCAGTAGTAGAAATCCATTTTTGGAGTAACTTCCCTTTGCATGGTCAGAAATTTTAATCATTAAAGAAGAGCCCGCGGAAAGACCAAATTTATCTGTGTAATATGTGTAATCTTTAGGTTTTTCAAATTTATTTATTTCATTAAAATCTTTTGTTTAGCTAAAAAAATTTGATATCCAATTGTTTAAAATGCCTATATATCACTTTTAACTTACCATACTTTGTATGAGCAGCAGCCAAGTTTTTCTGGTATGGAACCAGACTACAATCGGCAAAAGGAAACAACCTGTGTTAAAAGTTTTTAATAACAGAATCAAATTGGTAATTGGCAAATATTCTATTGCAGCTTATAATTAATCAGAAGTGTTCAATTGCTGAGAAATTTTACCAATTTGCTTTAAAACAAGGAATTATTTGAATCTGGAACAATTTTGAATTCTGGAAGGTTAATAAGAAATGTATGATGAAAACTGACCCAATTAAGGAGGGTTAGTTCGTACTGAAATATCAGTGAAATTAACGTGAACCTTAGCTATGCCCACGTGGCTTTCCTTTTTTTGTTTGGTTAGTTTTCATCACTCATTTCTTATAAACTTTCCAGAATTCAAAATTATTGCAGATCAATTTTAACACAAGGTTTATAACCACTAAAGGTAGGTTGGGATTGATTTTGGGGGTTATGGTCCCAACTGTTTAGGAATTAGGGGCCAAAAAGGGGTCCAAATAAGCATTTTTGGTAGTTTCCAGACAATAACTTGTGTTAAAGTGTATGAATCTCTCTGAAATTATACCACAAACTTCCATACAACAAAGGGATGGTTAGGATAGACTTTGGGGGGGTTATGGCTCAAACCATTTAGTAATTAGGGGCAAAAAAAGGGGAAAAACAAGGGTTTTTCTGGTTAATGGACAATTGAGACAATTTAAAAGCAGTGTAAGGGAGGTAATCCAATTCAAATTAAATAACACTGTTTGATTACCTCCCTTACACTGCTTGTAAATTATGTATTAAGAAATGATGATTGTCTTGAGGTGATTAGCTGTCAGTTTTTTTTTAGCAGTTACTATTAATTAATATTAATTTTAGCCATGACTATGTAACTATGTCATTTTATATTTTAAAACTTTTATGATGTATTTAAATGGGTAATTTTGGTTGCAAACTGCATTAGAAATTTGAATTGAGATACTGACCATATCTTGAGGGAAAGAATTTTTTTGGGGAATAAGGAAAGTGGGGAGGTGAAAAAAATTGGAGGGGGGGGGGGGGGGACAATTTTTCCCATTTCAGATTTCAGAAATTAAAAGAAAATTTCTTCAAATATTTTTTTTGGGGGGTTAATATTCAACAGCATAGTGTATTGCACAAAAGCAAAAAACCGGGGTAAAAAATATTTTTTTGGTAGAGGGGGTCAATTCGCAACAGCATAGTGTATTGCACAAAAGCAATAAATTGAATATAAATTCAAATCATATAACCAATTTGAAGTTCTTTGACCAGTTATTCTGTGTCAGAAACCTATTATGTATCAAAAATTAAGTTACAGTCCAAATTTGTTTTCAAGCGTGAATATTGTGTCCATTTTGGCCCAACTTTTCAGGGTTGGACATCTGCGGTCGTATCCAGCTGCGCTCAGCGAAGCAATTTATTATTTTATGTTATGTGAATTTAATTTGACATTTTTGGTTTAAAATATTTATTTTGTTTCATCTAAATACAATGATTGTAGTTATGAACGTATTAAACATACGTTTTTGCAAATAATTTCGTTTTTTAAAGGATACTTTGACCGTATAAAACACGTTTTTTGTTAATAATTACGTTTCAAAAAGGATATCAAAATGTATGCATCAAAATTAGTTATTTTAATTTATTTTCATTGTATCATAATTCAAGGAAGCTATTAAACCAAGAGTTCCAAATGGTGAAGTTGAAATCATCCCTTCGTAAATTTGACGGACGCCATCACGAGTTGGTTGACCGTTATGGAATATCCGTTTCACAGATGATAGCGGATATGTTCCGTATGTCGTAACTATATGTATGTGATGTTCATCGAACTATTATATGAACGAGATTTAGCAATGTCGCCATTTTTAATGCTTTGTGAGTATGATACTTTTAACATTTAGATTTATTATGCAAATTATCACGTTTATAGTTTTAAATGGGCGGCTTCTTAAAGATTTACCGATAGAGCTATATCAAATATTGTGTTATCGTTATAAAAAAACACGAAACAAAACAGTTTTACTTTATAATTTACATTGCTACTTTAATTATGCACATGTGTTGAAACAATTATCAACTGAATCCTTCAAAGTAAAGATTAAAGCTTTACTTTGTTTGAATATTATTTAATTTGAAAAACTAATTTAATTGTCAATGTTCATTTTAAAAGAGGATGCCATTGTAATTGTCAATGTTCATTTAAATATAGGATGCCAATACGTCATAGACAAGTAAATAACCCAGCTGCGCCAGCGCGCAATTTAAGAAGGAGAGGGCCTCAACTGGACGGGGAAGAATAACCTCCACAAAGACGTCAGCGCAATGACCACAATGTTGAAGTTCAACAAGATTTGAATATGCCAAATTCTGTGCCTAATAAAGGCAACAGTAGTATACTGTGATAATCAAGACAATGGCATTCAAGTTGTAGTACATGTACCCCAGCCAATAGGTGAGGTTGACGATAATATAAGTTTTGATGAACCAAATATGTTACCATATATAAATGAAACTGACATATTCATTAGCCAAACAGTCGAAGAAAAAAATTGGCAAGTTCAATATATTGACTTATCAATCATGCACAAAAGCAATTTCTGTAGTCATTTTGATAAGCAAAGTTATCTCGGTTTAAATGAAGATGGTAGATTGATAACTCAAACAAATTTTTCAAAAAAGAAAACCATTATTCATATTGAGACCTGGACTGACGCCTTTTTAGCTTATTCACAAGTTTTGATTCAGAGACATCCAATGAAAGCTACAAATGAAGTCAACTGTTTAGTTACATAGCTATCATAAGGGGTGCTGCAGCTGATAGTACTATTGAATAGTTGTACACGTATGATCAGCAACTTAGATTAAGAGTTGCAAGAAATCCTACAAAAAATTGCGATATAATTGATGCTCAATTATGGCTTCAAATAATGGCTATTGCTTCATCTAATACGCAACAACGACGCGTTAACAAATGCTATGACTTTAATTTTTAAGTAGTTTTCTCTCGTAATAGTTGTAGGTTCAGTCATACATGTTTGAAAAATGCTCTTTGAATCACTCATCCATAAGATGTAGGAGATATTGAGGTTAAGATAGCAACAAGCATAGGGCGCCGGGTAATGGTAATGGAACTTTCGAACCAAAATTTTGGTAATAACTTTGCCCCATATTGTAAAATTTGTTTAAGAATAATCCAAATCTTGCTGATGCTATGTTATTGTTAGATGGTTTTTAAACAAGGGTTTAAATTGAATTACACGGGACCAAGATATTCTAGAGATTTGATAATTTATTGTCTGTAAAAGAAAACCCAGATGAGGCAGTTAAAAATTTACGTTGCTCTCCACCTAATTCCAGTGTTCATGATTACATAGATGAAATTTACACAAAAGTTATAAATACTCTTCATTTGATAACGCAGCAAATATGATTCAAAAATAAGGGAAAAAATCACTTTTAGGAAAAAAATGATATTAAATCAGCATTTCGATTATTAAAAGTGTATCCAGGTGATTTTGACTTATTACGCATCAAATTACTGGGTAAATATTACACAGATAAAACAATGCCAATGAGTTGTTCAATATCTTGTGCTGCTTTTTAGAAGTTTTCAACATTTTTACATTGGGCTGTATCAAATAGAACAAATTCAGATAACTTGGATCATTATTTAGATGATTTCCTTTTCGCTGGTGAGGCTGGTACTGACAACTGCAAGCATTTGATGTTGATTTTCGATGATGTAAGGAACTAGGCGTACCTACTGCAAATGAAAAAACTGAAGGTCCATCAACAATTATTGAATACCTTGGTTTAATAATTGATTCACAAAATATGATGATAAAATTTCCTTTGGACAAAATTGCAAAGTTGTTGGAATTAATTGATTTCTATTCCAGTCAAAAAAGGTTACTCTAAAGCACATGCAATCTTTTACTGGTTGCATAGCATTTTGTACAAAAACATTGCCGTCAAGAAGATCATTTAGCAGACGTTTACAAAGTTCATTAAGTCAAGCAAAAAAAAAAAACACACCATTTTATCAGAGTTTCAAACGGCATGAAACAAGATTTATTAGTTAGGAAACCCTTTTTGACAACATTTAATGGGTATACATATATTCAGGTTTCTAATTGGGTAAATAGTCCCGATTTGGAATTGTTCACTGATAGTGCAGGTGGAAAACATTTAGGTTGTGGAACATTTTTGAATGGATCTTGGGGATGTTTAAAATGTCTAAGCAACTGGTCAAAAGACATACTCTCTGATATTACTTATTTAGAAATAGTTCCTATAGCATTAGCAATTTGTTTTTTATGGGGGGAGAAGTTTACGAATAAAAAGATCTTATTCCATTGTTATCATTCTGCTGTAGGTCTCAATATTAAATTTAAAAACATCCCAATCTAAACGAGTAATGTCACTTGTGATGCCAATAGTTTTGTGGACATTAAAATATAATTTTCAATTTAAAGCTATGTCACTTGTCATCAGTTACCAATATAATAGCTGATTCTTAATCTCGTGGACAGTTGAAAAAATTCAAGGAGGCGGCTCCAACAGCAGAAGTAGAACCTACACCAGTACCACAGGAATTCTGGGATCTCTTGATTTAGAAACGTCCAAACTTTTTAATGCCGCTTTTTCAAATTGCACAAAAGCAGAAAAGTCTTTTTACAAATTTCTTTTGGAATGCAAATTACCAATTATTTGGCCACCTAGTCTTGACTACATGATGAAATACATAGCTTATTTGTCCAAAAATAATTATGCGCCATCAATTTGCAGGTCATATATTTCTGGTTTGTCTTTTAATCTAAGAGCGGACAGTTTTGAAGACATTACACAACCTTTTTTAATTAAAAAAATATTGACTGGGTTTGACAGATTGTATTCACGTCCTGACATCAGGCAATCTATAACAGCCTGATGCATTATTACTTATTTTTTCTAAATATGAAAACGCTTTATTTTGTGCAGCATTTCCATTAGCACTTGGTGCATTTCTTAGAGTTGGAGAAATTACTATAAGATCTGTTAATGGCATGGGGTATGTTTTGCAAAAAGATGATGTTACAATGGATTATAACAAAAACATTATTTATGTTACTATTCGTTTTTCAAAACAGAACAAAGAGGTTTGACAACTACATTGGCTATAAAATCAGACAGTAGTATGATGCATGCACTCTCAAATTATAATTCATCAAGACCATACCACAACGGCCCTTACTTTTGTCATTTAGGTGGGAAAGCAATGATGAGATATCAATTTCATTCAATTCTTACAAAAACATTAAATTTTCTTGATTATGATGTTAAGAGATTCAATGCCCATTCCTTCAGAATAGGTGCAGCAACACCTGCATTTTTAAATGGAAAACTGAAGAAGAAATAAAACACATAAGTCGATGGAGGTCCTCTTCATTCAATCGATACATTCGTATAAATTAATTATAATCTTTCAGAAATGAGAGACATATGGATTATTGGCTCGTCTATTATGAAAAGGGTTTCAGAACACACTGAAAACAGACCAACAGGAACAAATTTAGGCTTCGATAAAAAAGGATACAACATAATTTGGCTTGGTTTGTCGGGGATGAAGTGGTTAATTGTTGTCAAGACAATTGATGCTGTATTAAATTGGAGAGTAGTCCAATCAGTTTTGATTATCCATTGTGGTGGAAATGATCTGGTTAATTGTTGTAATGGTGACTTGGTGTTTAATATGAGAAGTACTTTTCATAATTTAAAATTTATGATGCCGAATACGTTAATTATTTGGTCTTTTATTTTACCACGTCTTAGTTGGAGTGGTGTTATTAATAATGAAAAGATTGCAAAAGCTAGACGTCGAATCAATAGAGGAGTAATATCTTACAATAGTAAAATAGGTTGTAAATCAATTAAACACTTGGATTTTGAAGACAAACATCAAGCTTTATTTGATGCCGATGGTGTTCATCTTTCTTTTTTGGGGAATGATATTTTTATCAATACCATCCAAACTGCTATTGACCTATTTATTCACCATTCATTCAGGACATTATATCCTGATGAATTGTAATACTGAATTTATTTTGGGACATACCATTTATTATTTATTTTACTAATACTTGAGTAACTAGGTATTGAATTATGTGTTGTCTTGTGTAACCAAACAGTTGAAAGACTATTAAAGTTGCAAAAAATTTGTGTTGGCTTTATTCACAAATTTGAATAATATTTTTTGAACATTTGCATAATTACTTATATTGAATATTGAATAATTATTTGATTTGTTATGTTGATTTAATGTTGAATATTTGATTGACTTGCCATGTTGATTTAATGTTGTTGAAAAAATGATTTGTCGTCGGCTTTAAGAGTGATACATTTATCTGGCGATGTGAACAAGTTTTGTTAACTTTGGCGGAATTTATCTAATTTAGGTTCTGGAAGCCCAGTTACCACCTCTTTAGTGCTGGTTGCCCTTTACTGAATCAATGAAAAACATAATTATATTGTCATTGAATGATTTATTCTTTGGCCTATTGACAAATCTGATGAATGTTATGATGTTGTTGTAAAATTAAAGCCATGACAAATTCGCCAATTCTAAATTTGTGTTTTTATACGCCCGTTTACGGGACGTGTTATGGTATACTGTTGTCCGTCCGTCTGTCCGTCCGTCCGTCGTCAACATGTCGAACAATAACTCAAAAACACTTAAACCAATTTGCATGAAACTTATATCTATTGACGTGAGCTCCCTTTCGATTTTTATAAATTTTAGATTTTACGTTTCCGAATTATGGGGTTTTATTCATTAAAAAGGGGGATTTTCCAGTTTTCGGACAATAACTCAAAAATGCTTTGAGCAGTCTCATGAAACTTTGATGAATTAATTATATCTATTGACGTGAGGTCCCTTTCGATTTTTATAAATTTTAGATATTACGTTTTCGAGTTATTTGGTTTTATTAATTAAAAAGGGGGATTTTCCAGTTTTCGGACAATAACTCAAAAGTGCTTTGAGCAGTTTTCATGAAACTTTGGTGACTGGTTTATATTTATTAAAATAACCTCACTTTAGTATTTTATAAATTTCTGATATGCCATTGAGGAGTTATGGGACATTATTCTTTGAACAAGCGACGGGTCTATCATGCGCTCATGGTGCAGCTCTTTATTATTCACGAGACAAACAATTGAATCAGGACATAAAAAACTAATTGTATGTCATAGGTATTACTTTATTCGATTCACCATTTACGTATAGTGTCAGTTTTTTATATTCAATATCATATACAATAATGAAATTTAATCAATATGAATTAAATTTATTTATTGAATTGATAAGTATTGTTTTATCTCACTTTTTATGATTTGGTTGTTGTAAGCGACATATTAAACCGGTTGTATAATATATATTTTTCTGTAAATAAGCGATACTCAATTAGCTCGTGCATTAAAAGGCGGGAATTTAAACAATAATAAAACCAGTTGTTTCGGACATGTTGTTTCATTGTTTAACAAACTTAAAACGGAGTGCAAAGTCAAAATAACCCACCACACCCTTACCAAAAAATCATTTGTTTGCTGCTAATAATTTTTATAATTACAGATTATATTTGCAGTCTTTACCAAATCGTCATGGCTTTGAAGAATAATATTTTGATACATTATGACATTTGATGGATGTTGCTGTGATCCAACATGTATGAACAATCAATGTGTATGGCGGAATTTATCTTATTTAGGTGCTGGAAGCCCAGTTACCACCTCTTAAGTGGTGGTTGCCCTTTACTGAATCAATGAAAAATATAATTACATTCTTCGGCCTCTTGAAAATCTGATTGTTGTTATGACGTTGTAAAATTAAAGCCATGATAAATTCGCCAATTCTAAATTTGTGTTGTTTTTATTCATTAGATAAATAATTGATTCAGGACATAAAAACTAATTATATGTCATAGGTATTACTTTATTAGATTCACCATTTACGTATAGTGTCAGTTTTGTATATTTGTTATCATATACAATAATCTATTGTTTACAAAATTGATTTAAATTTATTTTTCAATTGATGTCTGCGAGCAAAATTGTAAACGAGCCCATGAAATTCTTAGTGTGTGATGTATAAATTCCAAACCACGTCCGGTAAAAAATGGGACGTTAAATCCGATGCTTCGATTAGAGAGTGCCACGCCCTCTGAACAGTAAGAACCATTGCACCAACTCTTTGAGGGGTCCATAGATGGCATTTTGCAAGGCTATATTTCACTTTCCAGTGGCAGTCTAACCCTCCCAAACCCCCAACCCCAAAAAATTCATCCCGATAACCCCTACATATTGTTTTGTTGTCAATTTGCTCGCGTCCTGAACATGCATGAAATGTTTGCCATTGGACACCAAGAAAACAACAACCAATCAATCAAAATACACTTGCATCAGTGCTAATGCATTAAGTCATTGCGTGAACCCCCGAGGGTTCACGCATATATATATATGTTGATTTTGTAGTCTTTCGGAATACAAATTAGGCGATACAAAAACGTTTGTACTCATAAGCAAGAAATAGCACAACTTTCTAAAAAATTATTTTTCTTAAAACCAATATCCGTATTCAACGGACATGCGATTGCAAAAACAGGATTTTTAAATTCCGTACTTGACATTAGCTATACTAAAATTGGAACTGTTATTCCTGCTTCCCTCTGCCTGTCACTCAATCATATAAAAACAACATATCAACAACTTCATTATATTCTGGTTAATTTACAAAAGGATAAGTTATGAAATGAAAAGTTGAGGTTTCAAAATGTTTCTACCTAGTCTCTAAAGACTGATTGGAGTTTGTTGCCTTGGGTATAGATAATTGAGATCAAGCATATCTTGAATATGATAGCAAACCATATAAACCAGTATAATTGGTTTTCAAAACGGGATTAACAAATAAGAACATAGCTTAGGATTTGAACTATTTTCAAACTGGCTACAAAAACAAATAATCATGACTCATTTCATTAAACTACTTCAAAACAAAGACTGTTTTCACATTTACATGTCGACTTTCGCCAGTAGGCTTCCCCTAATTTACAAAACAGCACCTCAGAATGGAACATACAGTGGTTGCCTCCTATTTAGCACGTTGTAATGTTATCTATAGGAAGAGAGAGGGGGCGAGAGATAAATGATTTCTTTAAACAAGAAAATTATACCCAACATTTATCTAATCTTATATACCAAACAGGCATTTAAGTTCACGATTGATTTCTTTTTTTAAAGAAAGCAACTTGTTTCTGTCCTATTGATTATAGTGGAGTGACAAATCAAGAAAAAGTCGCTTATTTTAAGAATTTAATGGAACGACATACCTCACGGCTAAAAATCCACATGATGATAGGGTAAACATTATACTATCATTTTAGCCTTGTCGTAGAGTTTTCCCACGGTGCAGTTTTTTGTAAAATCGCGGTAAAGCGTGATTTTCCGATTTTTTTCTTTTTCATTATCTAACACGGGAACACTTATAATTACTTCCTGAATGAAGATATCAGCAAATATTTGCTATGAAATGAAAGGGTAATGTATCAGCTTTCATTTAATATCAAAATTAAATATCATATGAAAATACACATAGAGCGAATTTGAAGATTTGCAATTGTATGTGACATTTTTTTCAATCTTTCCGTCTGTCAAAGTATATGAAATTTCTTACATACATCAACCGTAGTCGATTTTGACAAAAAATAGTGGAACAACCAATACTTAAGAAGTTTTTAATATATCAAAGTTTGATAGAACATACAAATCAACTTTTACAAGCCTTTTTATAATACTCAACATATAGCAGTTTTACTATTCAATATTCACCTCAATAAGTCGTGTTATGCTCCCTTTACCTATTTTCCCCTGACTTTTGAATTGCTGTGTTTTTCACAATGAATTAAATATGCATTTTCTTAATTTTTGTAAATGAGAATATAGATTTATATCAATGATTGTGTCTAGATGTTTGAATAAGTACAGATGTTAAGGTTTAATAACTTTTGAGGGTTTTTTATTCTTGTTGAGTTTTTCGAATAGACTAATTTTAAACCACATTGGAACACATCCGAATTAATCCGGAAAATTGTGGACAGTGCTAATTCCATTAAATGAAAACAAGTAAAGTAGATTAGGACGTGTTATAAAGCCTATAAATGTACAAGAAGAACATATTTTGATACGTTTGAATTAGGGAAAAACCAATGCGTGTGATAATGAAACAACTTGCGTTAAAACACGCTCCATGGCATTACCATTAGACTAGTCCAAATATTTATTCTGCAGACAAGTCATACAACGAGATAAGCAATTAAGGCATGTCGAGTCATTTGAGCGTGCCGATTATGTTTTAAATTACGCAAATTACCAGGCAGACTATCCAGTGGTAAGTTTACTCTCCATAGGTAACTTCAAGAACAAGGCACTGCATCATTCACTCACCATGCATTGTTAACTACAGGCTGAAATGAAAACATTAACTTGCTTCTGATGCTTCAAATCAGTCGGAGCCTGATGTTGCTTTTCAAAAACTAACAGAAAGTCTATATGATGATCTGTTTGTGAAAAGAAGCATTTTCGTTGTCGTATAGTTTGCTAGATACATTATTGTTCCTTTCTTCCAGACCCTTCATGATGCGGAAAAAATTGTGAAAAGCAGTTTACGATCGTTCGAAATTTCAAATTATCACTATCTATGTCCGTCAAAATTTAGTATTCCAAGTGCTTTACAATTTATTCCTACCTCTCTGATAAATATTTTTGCCTGGTAAGTAGATGACAATTATTTTGATATGGATAATGATTACAATGCACTCTCATGTGATACTATACGGAAATGTATACCTTTAGCTGAGTGTGTGATATCCCTGTATTAATACTCAGTACACTCCTGATCAGAGATGGTATGGGTATTGTACAAAGTCTTTATGTAAAAAGGTACAACAGTTTTGGAGATTTGGCCAAGGACGTCTTTAAAACCATAATAGCTTGTTTTGAAAACTTCGGATGTGTCGTGGACGTGTTTGATCGATATGATGTGGAACATTCTACAAAATCAGCAGAAAGAATAAGGAGTAAAATTGAGAATGGAAACGGGAAATGCGTCAAAGAGAAAACAAAGTCTTATTTAAATGGTGGTAGATCTAAGGTTCTTCAAGTCATTGAATGCATCACATTTAGAAATTGTAAGAAATGTCTTTGTGTACCTGAAAATAAACAGGGGTTGTTTATATTTGTGGGTGACTATGCACTCCCACACTACAATGATTTTGAATTGCAAGACCATGACGAAATATTCCTAGCGGGCTCTTTTCAAAATCTATAGACTGTCAAGCAATTTTGTGTACATGGTGACCTGAATAAACTCAAGAGTGAAGTCGTCGCTTTCTAAGGATGCTTACTTAGTGAGACTACCTCCTTCAGATGCATCATGCAGACAGCACGTTCTTCGAGTTTCACTCTAAGTGTCTCAGTGTTCGTCTAGATGAATGCTTATATTGCCACACCACCACCTAGGTCACCTTTGGAATATGGATATTGGAAATAGCTCCATAGTTTCAGTATACTAGTATTTTGAATCCAATGTCCTCTGACTTTTTACAGGACCTTGTTTGTACATGTAAATGCAAAATATTTTGTAGCAAATCTTACGTATGCAACGAACAGAATTTGTCGTGCACCAGCATTAATTGTTGTCAGGGCAGTGGTGATTGTAGAAACCAACTTACTCATCAGATTGTGTTAGAAGATTGCTACGATAAGGATATGATTGAACTATTAATCTCAATGCCCAATATTTCAAGTGTTCTGCTGTTAGTGGCCTCCGACTTGATGTGGTTGGGGAGCTCTCTCTCTCTCTCTCTCTCTCTCTCTCTCTCTCTCTCTCTCTCTCTCTCTCTCTCTCTCTCTCAAAACCCAAAACAAACCAAAACAAACCAAAACCAAACAAACAAATCTGCCAGTGGTCTTGGACCTTGACGCGGTTGGTGCGCTTTCAAACCAACTGGAGATATTTTTGTATCGAAGATTTGTATCGGAAGTATTACATACCATGACATCCACTTTTTTTTTCTTAGTATTCTTAGTATTCTTAGTATTCCGTTACCTTTTCAAATGGACGTGCATATTGATGTCTAGTGTTAGTGTATTATATACCTAGACAGCTTCCTTTGTAGTTCAATATCTCTGTGAATCGTGTTTGTTTGTTATTCACATATATATCGGGCTTTCAAATCGGTTTTAGTCAAGTCTGCTATATATGCCATTGTTTGTCTTGTTTTATAAAAAAGGGGCTACAAGTTCTCAATATGCTATTGCTCATGTACTGATTGACCTATTAACATAAAAAAAAACTTCTTTTACTATCGTGTTCATGCTGACATTTATGCATCAAGAATAGTTTTATACTTCCACATTCTTTTGGGTTTGAAGTTATAAGCAGTAATGAATTTCATCATTTTTTCATTAAATCATGGACTGGGTGTTAACTTACAGTTCTTATTTCTCTTTTGTTCTTTATGGCATTTTGAAAAAAACAACGGATGTTCTTAAACACTGCTGACTGCCATGGCGATTGCCAAATAAACGGATCACCAGATTTAACAAAATGGATCTAAATTATTAATGTAATACCAAACAGAAAACAATAAACTTGCGGAAAAGATGGTATACCGCAAACATCAGGTGCAAAAATTGGTACACCATATCCGGATTTCTACAATTAATGACTCTTCAGTGATGTTAGGAATCGAAACGGTATTTGGAAGGCCATATAATTTACCTCAATTTAGGATTGACTCTTGAATTTTGAAGAGTCGAAATAGGATGAACGGATTATATAAACCCGAAATCAAATATAAT